TAGATTAAGATTAAGATTGAGATTAAAATATACTTTATTCATCCCACTGTGGAGAAATTTCAGTGTTGCATCGCCATTTACAGAACAGTAGGAATGAGGAGCACACAGCACAACCATAAATATCCTTAGATACCATAAATGTCCTTAGATTAAGACTAAGTTTAAGATTAAAATATACTTTATTCATCCCACTGTGGAGAAATTTCAGTGTTTTATCGCCATTTACAGAACAGTAGGAATGAGGAGCACACAACACAATATAAATTATTAACAATGAAATAATAATACAAAAAATAGCTTTCCCACCACTACACTTTGCTAAAGGGCCGTGTTATAAATCCATCTCCAAATGTTAAGTGATGTAATCTTTAATTTTAATTTCTATTCTTCTGAAACAGCAGTTGGCAAATGAAATGAACAGTCACAAACGTCTGTTCTAGGTAAAGGAACAGGCTGTGCTGGCTTCTCTCTGATCTCTATGTGTTTTTGTCAAATACCATTTCTCTAATATGACTTTTTTTCTTTCAAAACCCGTCAGAGCTGCAGTGATTCTTTCATCTCTCCTTCTCTCCATCTGTGCCAAAAGATAATGACGGGGTAAAGCTGACGGACATGGGCGAAGGTGCAGCACAAAAATATGTAATTTCTTGAATGAGATTTGAACATGTTATGGTTTCATGTCGTACACATTGGTGCGGGTTCAAGTTTCAGACTGAGAGACCTGTTGAAGTAATGTATAGGTTATAAGTGGGATCCAACATATTTGAGTGAGAAAAATCAATCTGTATTTGTCATATTGTTGAACGTTGGCTGAAACCCCCTAAATCATAGGTGCCAAAGTCAAGGCCCAGGGACAAGATCCGGCCCGTGAATGAATTATATCGGCCCCCAGGATGATATTTGATTAGTTTTAGAACCGGCCCATGCCATAATTTCATGTTCAGGACATGTGTTTTCTCTTTGAAGGAAGGTTGTTTTTGTCTGAGAGGCTGTTGAATAATGTTTTCACTTGAAATCACTGACAGAGCCGAACAAAATCTACAAATATATGCGTATATAGATATGTATGAATCTATGTCTTATGTGTAAAGTACTTGTATATATTTTGTTAATAGTTTGTAATTGATTTCCCATCGAGCGTGCATGTCGTTGTGTGTGTGTGAGGATGTATGTATGCAAATTTATTTAATGATTTTGAGGAGAACACGGTAGAATAGCCACTGCACCTCAGAGGCTAATGGGGATCTTATATAGGAGGATTTTCTACTTCCGGGTGGATCATAAAAACTATTGGTCCTCCCAATTGTCAATCATTTTGGTGATACGTGCTTGTCCAATAACAGTTTTTTCCCTAAAATTTGGTAACATCCTCCTACATACCTTTAAAAAACAAAACAAAAAACAGACAATACAAGCAGTGCAGGTCTGTTTCTCTCCAGGTCAACACTGGTCCTATTTTCAGATCTGACATTGTTTTAGTCCATTCTTTCCTCTTGCAGCAGCGGTGAAAAAAGGCAGCGAGCGGGTATAATCCGTTACAGAAATGCTGTTGTAATACAAAACAAGAATGCAGAGAAGCAGATCCCAGCCACAGAACACCCACAGAGCTCCAGCCTTTTCATTTGCGCACATCCACGCGCCGCATAATGAACAGCCAGACTGTACACGCATATTAAAAGCTCTTTATAATGCAGCGGGAGAGGTACTTCGGCAAAAAAAAAGAAAAAAGAAAAACCCACTACTGTGCTCTACCATAAAAGCACCGTGTTGCGTTCTCTGCCTTTGGTCTTTAGTGGAGAGGCATGTAAAGAGGCAGCGCAAATTAAAACACCATCAGAGAAGCAGCAGGAGAATGTGTGATGAAAAGTTAAGTGATATAAAAAAGAAGAGCAGTTTATGAGCAGGCGTAGAAGAGGACGCCTCGAGGTTGTGGAGTCGTTTGTGGCGAGTGCAATCAGCGCTGTTTACTTGATACTGGAAGCGTTCAGATAATGTGTTTTGTTAAGTACTATTTAATTGGAGTATCGGCCACTGGTGTTACGGGCTGTGCTTATGTTAATACGTCAAAAGATTCAAGTGAGAAGTGGTTTCTTCTTCTCGATGCAGGAGGGTCTAAGGACAGTGGAGATCCGGGAGTAGGGTTGCCACAATTTCACATTTTTGAGTCACGATTATTGCGAGAGAAAATGTTGTAATTATTGACATTATGAAAGAAAGAATTGTTTTTTGGAGTTTTTTTGCTTGAAACAATAAATGTAGAAATTAAGATCATATAATAGTTTACATTATTTTATTGTTAAAAAAATAATTCAGGAATGTATTTGGCCTAGCAGTAGCAGCAGTAGCAGCCATCTTCATAGTTGTAGTCCAGGTGTCATGTTTTGTTTAGTTGACTAAGGATGCGTGCGTACTGTCTCTTTAAGAGCGTCTCCCAGCACACGTGTTAATCGCAATTACCGTAAAACCGATTAATACAATACAATACAATACAATTTATTCTTGTATAGCCCTAGGTCACAACAGAAGTCATCTCAGAGGACTTAACAAAACCATTGAAATCACCAACACAGGTCAGAGAATCAACAGCCAAAACACATGGAGAATATAAAGCACACACAGAAGAAAATGTCCATACATGTTGTAGAATGCTAAAGTGTCCTGATCATCACCAATCCTTTTTGTTGGACACTAACTGTCCAACAAGACCCTCCTGCATCGACAAGGAAAAACATTAAAAAATTAATCTCGGCAACCCTATCTGGAACATTTGTGGACATTTATAATCGTTCATGGATGTTAGAAAAAATTGAAATCCTGCAGGAGCCAGTATACTTAAAGGTGCACTGTGTAGTTTTTACTCCCATCTAGTGTTGAGATCATATATTAGAATTTCCGGACTACGTCATATTGTCCTGTGAAGCGCAGGACAATGTGTCGACTTTGACAGTGGTCCCCAATTCCCGCTCAAACTCCTTTTTGTCCCTTATCAACCACTGTATTTCAAGATGGCGCCCTGACACAGTGAGTCCTCCACCCTCATGGACATCCATCAGTCAAATTCTAAGCCTATAACAACAATTAAAAAACATGATAGAGGTCAATATTCTTAAAAAGAGGTCACATTTGTTATTGGTACACATGTTTTTTTTTTCATTTGGAGCCACTTTAAAAATTACACAGAGTACCTTTAAATATTTACCCAATACAAGATGTTGTTTGGAAAAAAGTATGACATGAGCTCATAATTGCTTAAATGATGTTTTCCTATCAGTAATTGTGTTGTCAGTCAGAATGTGTTCAAAGTCAGATACATTTGGCCATCAAGTCATTTTTTAACTTTTTTAATCACTTTTTGCCCGGGACCTGGCAACGGATGAAGCGAAATGGATGTATGGATGGACTTTGTGCAGTGTACTTATTCTGAGACACTCAATACTGTAGTTTTTTTTTTTTTTTTTTCAGAACTATCTGAACCAAACATAAAATGAGGGAAACTTCGTCGCAGCAAAGGATTAAAGCAAAAGATCCTTGAAAAACAGGTTTATGAAGCGATACCTCTCTCTGGCAACACAAATGAATACATTTAATAACAGTTATAAAACAAGTTATAAATCAGTTCGAAATCAAATTTAATCTGTCCGTGGCCTGTCCTTTGGAAAGCAGGAGTTAGTTCATAGGAGAGTGTAAATATATGGATATAATTGACCATAAACAAATTGGGCTGTTTGTTTTCCCAACTCACCAAACAAACTTATCTAACTAACTTTTACATAATCTTTTCTTGTCTTAATGCTTTAATAGTAAGACAGAACAGTGAATAAGTGCATGACATTACAAGTGAATACCATCAAAAACATTCATTCATAAGTACAGTCCATTCAAACTGTAACACGTACTGAAAAACTGGCAATACAAAAAAAAAAAAAAGGCAAAATTGTGTGGTATTACAATCACAACACAGACAGAGCTGCGTGCCACCGACCCGCAAGAAAAACAAGACTCACTGACGCAAAACGGATTCAGGCTGTCCTGGAGATTTCCCCCAAACCCAGGGTACAGAATCCAGGCGGGAACGGTCAAACCCAATGTAAACAGCACATGCCGAAGTGGACACACACGCCAGCCCCGGTCCTTGGCATCTGCTTTTTATTACGACAAATGTTCTGTGCATGTGCTTAAGAGCAGAGAGGCTGGAGTTATGGCCACGCCGCTGCCAAAGATCAACTTGAATTCAGCTGTAGGAAGAAAAACGTCCAAAATATTGACTCTCTTATGTGGAGTGGTGTCAGACAGAGAGTAATAATAATGATAATAATGAAAATAATAATACATTGTATGCGCCTTATATTTCCAGGAAACCTCAAAGTGCTATGGATCACATAAGAAGTACATAATACATCATGAAGACACATGAAGGGTTTAAAAGCACACAAAATCCCTCATAAATATTAGGCATGGGCAGCACGGGGGCTGAGTAGATAGCACTCTCGCCTCTCAGCAAGAAGGTCCTGGGTTCGAATCCCGGTCGGACCAGGGCCTTTCTGAGTGGAGTTTGCATGTTCTCCCCGTGTCTGCTTAGGTTTCCTCCGGGTGCTCCTGTTTCCCCTACCACTAAAAAAATGTACAATAGGTCTGGCATGCGCCTCCTGTTCGGCGACCTCACTCCAATCTCTGTGTGGAGTGAGAGGACAAATGCCCAAAAATAACACTTGTAAACCGCTTTGTGACTCTGGTCTGTGAAAGGCGGAATATAAATAAAGACTACTACTACTGCTATAAATATCCCCAAATTGTATTCACCTTCGGAAATCGAGATTAAATATTCAAGAGGAAAACGTGTTCGAAGAAAGTTGACAAATGAAAATCAAAATAAGGTTTTATTAAAGCCTTGAAGTTGGCTCCATCAGTATATTTTTTTTTTTGAACTCACATGAGAGGGGGTACCTGATGACTGTGAGGGGGTGGTACCGTATGACTGTGAGGGGGGGTACCTTATGACTATGAGAGGAGGGGTACCTGATGACTGTGAGAGGGAGGTACCTGATGACTGTGAGTGGGGTACCTTTTGACTGTGAGGGGGGTACCTGATAACTTTGAGGGCGGGGGGTGTAACCTGATGAGTGTAAGAGGGGGGTACGTTGTGGCTGTGAGGGGGGGGGGGTACCTGATGACTGCGAGTCTCACACTCTGTTTTAGTTTCACATTATACATTGAATTACAGTGAACAGACTTTTGAACAATATTCAAATTTTTCGAGTTTCACCTGTAAGACACACACACACGCTCACACACGTGCGCACACACACACACACACACACATACACACACACACACACGCTCACACACGTGCGCACACACACACACACACACTAAACATTATCTGAGCAGTTTGAAAGTCAATCTTCCTTCAAATCGCGTACGTTTTTTTTGTTAAATCTATTAACATTGTAGACAAGTGACCGAAGGCCTAATAATGTTTAAAAATCCCAGCAAAAGCAAAACACTTTTATACAATTTCCCTGTTTCTTGGAACTAGCCATGAAATAACCTCCCACAGAAAGGACCACTACACCACTCCATCCATGTCCTCTACAAAGCTGTATTCACTAAACGCCTTGCACTGACAGAACACCAACAAAAAGTCCATCCCTCCGTCTGCAAATCTCTGAACTACGTTGGCGTGTTTTGGCGTATCCACGTGGGCTTCCTCCCTGTAAGCCTTTCCATCTCCTGTCTGTATTATGTCAGGTGTCTCCTCTTCCCCATTACGAATCGGAATAAGCCGAAGAGGCAGCGAGCGAGGGATTAGAGCGAGGTAAATGATCTGTGCACGCGGCGGTGAGGATGTAAAGAAAGCGGTGACGTCTGAGGTGGTTCTTTATTTGCAGTGGGAGGGTTTCTGCTGGGAGTGCGCTTCACCAGAACGCAAGTATAAGCTGAACGACAACAACAAGGGCAGCTTTCGTGACTTGTTACTTGTAAAAAGGTTTGATTTGTGTGTATCTTAATATGGCAAAGCAGGGTGATACGACAGACATGTTATCTTGGGATCCTGTGTTATAATTATTACATTTAATCATAATAATAATCATAATAATTGGTTTCAAATAGTGCTTTTTTGGACATTCAAAGATGCTCCACATGTCATTATTCTTTCACTCCATACACGGCGGTGATAAACTGTAGCCACAGCTGCCCTGGGGCACACTGACAGAAGCGAGGCAACCAGTGTGTTTCATCGGCCCCTCTGAACCCCACCTACCATTCACACACACGCACACACACCAGACTCATTCTAGGCATGGGTGAAGAGTCTTGCCTAAGGACAAAACAGCCGCAGTCACTTAAATGTGGCACCTAGTGTTCCCAGAGGTCTCCCATCACAGTACTAACCAGGCCCTGCCCTGCTTAGCTTCAGAGGTCTGACAAGATCTACTTTCACATGCTGGTATGGCCATGATGACAATGATGATTTAGCTTCTACATTATTTTGTCTGATTACCTTCCTAGAAAAAAACACTTTGGCTGTGTAATCTCGCTGCTAACTTTGGCGATTACTAAAAAACATCCCAATTAAAATGATACATTCCACCGCCCCTAAACCAGGCCTGTGGAAATCTCTATGTTGCTTTCATTCTGGGTTATTGCTCGTCATGTGGGTGACCATATGCCCAGGATTAACTCGGCCAGTCCACTGTGAATACACCGTCCATGTATTTTCTCCAACTAAAATGTTAGAACATCGAACTAAAATCTATGTTAAAAACAGCACAACATAAGGGATTTTATCTTCACTGATTTTTTTTACTATTTGTGATTTTATTTTGTCATTTTAATGCCTTGTGTGATTGTATATTGTTTTGTTCTGCACGTGTGTATGAACTGTGCTATACAGATAAAATTGCCTTGCCTTGCTCCCTGGGTTCAAACATTCACAGTGATGATCAAACTACTTTCAGAGTTTCACCTGTTTGTGCCAACGAATCCATACAATTAACCAGAACCATGAGCTGAGCTTCAGGCCACAAACCAGAGCCAATAAAAACTCGCTGGATTTGCCAATTTGAGATTTCCCCGCCGATAATCGCTAGCATGTAAAATCCTGGGCTGACTATTAACCACATACCGCTAAAGCCGTAATGAGTCTTCGCGCCTGTGGGAGTTTACTGTTACGCATACGTGACACTGCGCTCCTAACACTACCAGCGCAAATTGAAAATCTAAATAATTACTCACAACCTCCTGCTTGTCGTGTGGGGGCTCGCAGTACAAGTATGTGCTAATGACGGATGAGAGACGTGGCCTGCGCTGATCAAAGGACTCTGGTAGAATTAGCTTTCAGGACCCTGGACAGCATCTCTCTCTCTCTCTCTCTCTCACTATGAACGAACGCTTCCTTTGACGCATGTTGCAAGTCAATCAGATCAGCGCCATTATGACTGCATTAAACCTATTAGCGAGCTGGGATCTAATTAACAAGCGGCCGGGGCTCGTAATGTTTACACAAATGCGCGGCTTTTATGGCGTGACGGGGGCCGGTGGTCCCATAAATCTGCATATATCGACGTGTGTGTGTGTCTGTTTGTGTGTGAATGCGAGGACGCTAATGACAGATGCGGATTCGTCATACACATTTGCGCTGCGTGGTTGTGGGCTATCGGCAGAATTTTTAAACAAATCAATCGAGTTATTCAAATTGGAGTGCGGCAGCGGGCAGAAGGACTCGTGTGTCTCCACTGAAACGTGTGGTGTGTGTGTGTGTGTGTGTGTGTAAATGGTTGTGCGTTTGGAGTGGAATAACATACTGGTTTATGGAATCACACTTAGCAGCGTTGTGCGTAGGAGCCGTGTTTGTGAGCGTTTCTTGTTGCATTGTCTTGATGATTAGAAAAACAAAACCTGTTCACAAAACCATTATTCTGTCACGTTTCATGCTGCTGTTGGCAACGTGTGTGTTTCTGACAACTACAAGATACTAAAGATTTCCCCATTGGGAACAAAAAAAGGACTTTCTTCTTATTCTATAGATTGCCGGGTCATGGGGGCAGCAGACACCCAAACTTCCATATCCACACACACTTCTTCCAGCTCATCTGGGGGAATCCCAAGGCGTTCTCGGGCCAGCGGAGAGACATACAGTGCCTTGAGAAAGTATTCGGCCCCCTTGAACCTTTTGACATTTTGCCACATTTCAGGCTTCAAACATAAAGATATTAAAAAAAAATTTTTTGTCAAGAATCAACAACAAGTGGGACACAATCGTGAAGTGGAAAAAAATGTATTGGATAATTTAAACTTTTTTAACAATTAAAAAACTGAAAAGTGGGGCGTGCAATATTATTCGGCCCCCTTGCGCTAATACTTTGTAGCGCCACCTTTTGCTGCAATTACAGCTGCAAGTCGCTTGGGGTATGTCTTTTTTTTGCACATCGAGAGACTGGAATTCTTTCCCATTCTTCCTTGCAAAACAGCTCGAGCTCAGTGAGGTTGGATGGAGAGCGTTTGTGAACAGCAGTCTTCAGCTCTTTCCACAGATTCTCGATTGGATTCAGGTCTGGACTTTGACTTGGCCATTCTAACACCTGGATACGTCTATTTGTGAACCATTCCATTGCAGATTTGGCTTTATGTTTTGGATCATTGTCCTGTTGGAAGATAAATCTCCGTCCCAGTCTCAGATCTTTTGCAGACTCCAACAGGTTTTCTTCCAGAATGGTCCTGTATTTGGCTCCATCCATCTTCCCATGAATTTTAGACTTTTTATGGATATCTTTGAGAAATGGCTTTCTTCTTTCCACTCTTCCATAAAGACCAGATTTGTGCAGTGCACGACTGATTGTTGTCCTATGGACAGACTCTCCCACCTCAGCTGTAGTTATCTGCAGTTCATCCAGAGTGATCATGGGCCTCTTGGCTGCATCTCTGATCAGTCTTCTCCTTGTTTGAGATGAAAGTTTGGAGGGACGGCCGGGTCTTTTGCAGTGGTCTGATACTCCTTCCATTTCAATATAATTGCTTGCACAGTGCTCCTTGAGATGTTTAAAGCTTGGGAAATCTTTTTGTATCCAAATCCGGCTTTAAACTTCTCCACAACAGTATCTCGGACCTGCCTGGTGTGTTCCTTTGTCTTCATGGTTCTCTCTGCGCTTTAAACAGAACCCTGAGACTATCAAAGAGCAGGTGCATTTATACGGAGACTTGATTACACACAGGTGCATTCTATTTATCATCATCAGTCATTTAGGACAACATTGGATCATTCAAAGATCCTCACTGAACTTCTGGAGGTAGTTTGCTGCACTGAAAGTAAAGGGGCCGAATAATATTGCACGCCCCACTTTTCAGTTTTTTATTTGTTAAAAAAGTTTAAATTATCCAATAAATTTTGTTCCACTTCACGATTGTGTCCCACTTGTTGTTGATTCATGACAAAAAATTAAAATGGTATATCTTTATGTTTGAAGCCTGAAATTTGGCGAAATGTTGAAAGGTTCAAGGGGGCCGAATACTTTCGCAAGGCACTATAGTCCCTCCATTGTGTCCTGGGTCTTTGAAAATAAAAAAAATGAAATATTATTGAAACAAATATCTCTGTTTTTAAAATGTGTCAAAATGTTGTATTCCTCGAGCTACAATCTCATAACTGTTTTGTTATAGGCTGTAATTGTAAAAGAATTTCCTCAAGAAGGGGTGAAACTTTATTTGTGTGGAAATAAAATAGATCTGGCTTTTCAAACATTGACTTTTTATAGGGCAAATTGTAAGCTTTGTAAAAAGTAAAAATTCTTTTTTTTTTGCAAATGAACTATTCAAATATTTGTTTTAAATTATTATATATAGGGTTATACAGTATTATTTTCTGTTATCGTAATTATCACATAGATCTTAATCACGATTGCAAAAAGGAGTTGGAGACCCCCGTCCTAAAGGTAAAAATAAACCAACAAATAAATCAACAACAGGGCCTTTCTGAGTGTAGTTTGCATGTTCTCCCTGTGTCTGTGTAGGTTTTTTCCGGGTGCTCCGGTTTCCCCTACCACTACAAACATGCACAATAGTTGTGAATGTATATGAGTGAGTGAATGGATGGCAGCTGTGCAGATTGTCCATGTGCTGATCCAGATGCATTGTTTCTCTTGAGGTTTTTCAGTTTTGGCTTAAAAAAACACACATGCCCGCATTCTTCCAAAGTCTGGGATCGTGTCTTTAATTCAGACAGAAGACGTTGTTTTATTGTTGATGGTAGAAACACGAACAAGGGATGTTACAGACAGAAAGTGATAATATACTCAGGAGAAACAGAGACCTCCAATCAGCAGCTGCCACGGTGTGCTTGTAGCTTGGCCTTCAGAAATCAAAACATCAAGTGGAAAAGTACAGGCTTCTGCATATGTAAGAATGAAGTTAGAACTTTAACCATAGTTGCTTCAAAGTGTTATGAAATCTCTACAGTATTGATTGGCCAGTGTGTTCGGCGACTCGCTTCCGTCATCACCGTGTGTGGAATGATTGGAACAATACTTGAACTCTATCGCTTTGGGTGAAATTGATCTGTAAAATGTGCTATATAAATAAGCATTACTTACTTACTTGCTTTCTAAAACATTCGGTCAGTGCTGGGACCAAACCAGTCGCCCTCCTCCATCTTCGCCTCTGTCATAACTTGAGCCAACGATGAGAGATTACTGTGTCATTAGACAGATTTCATTATCGCGTCTCCCTTTAGCATCACTCCTGTATAATGTTCTTTTGTCTTGCCTTTTTTATTGATTGATGCCTGTAAAAAAAAATGTAGTTGCAGAGGACATTATTTTG